GAAAACGATTTTGACAATATCAAATGATAAAGGCATGGAAATTACTAAAAATTTTATCCAAGCATTACATAATTATGTCACCACACAATTAGGAAAATATCCTTTAATGGAACCTAGCATTAAATTAAGACAATTACTTCAACAAACAGATTCACCAACTATTGATTCATCTATAGAAATCTTTAAAGAATACATTACTCGTTACGAAATTAAACCGCTGTTCTATCGTCTTTTGTTACATCCAGGTATAACAGAAGAACAAATTGCAGAATTTATGTTTCAAATATGTCAATTAGCTCGAGAATTACCTACTGTTGATTTAATTGCTTTCTTTGATGAAGTTAATACATCATCTTGTCTGGGTTTATTTAAAGAAATGTTCATGGATGGTACATTACATGGAACAAATATACCAAAAAATATTTTCTTTACTGCTGCTATAAATCCATTCATGGCAAAAAATGAGAGTAAAAAAATTCATCGTAGTGATTATCTTGTACATAAATTACCACGCGCATTAGAAAATTTAAAAGTTTCCTATGGTTCTTTAGCATCGGAAACATTAGCTACTTATATTTATAAAAAAATAGCCATGTTTCAAATTAGTTCGATAACTAATGGTCGAAAATCAATGCCGCTGGAAGATTACGTTCAACATATTTTAGCAGAATGCATTCTACGAGCGCAGGAATTCTGTGAAAAACGTCTTGGTAGGGTTTTTGTTTTCTTTATTCAGAATTGTATTGAAGTCTTCTACAATAAGTAACATTACAAATATCTATAAAACATAAATATTTACTATATTAGAATTAGAATTCATGAGGACGAGCAGAAATGCATTCCCTATTTTGTTTCGCATTTAAAGAGATACGAAAGAAAATGGATATTTAAGACAAATAGCTTTGGTATAATAGATTTTCTTCTAAGTAAGCTAACATCTAACGCAAGGGACACGTCGATTTAGAGGAAATCTACTGAATGACTTGAATGAAAGTATAATTTAAGAACTGACAAATATTTCCACATACATTCCATTTCGCTTTACAAAAGGTTAGCGATAATAAGGAAAATATTTTTACTTCAATAGATCATTGATGATTGAAATAGACATCCTAAAGTACTTCTCATCTGATACCTTAGGCTCTTTGAATTATCGTATTATGAAAATGTCTGAATATGATAATTTTAAATGGGTAATTATTCTTCGACTTCAAAGATTAGTACAGATTTCTTTCACTTGAATTAAGTATTTTATTTTTCAGCACGAAACTCAATATCACAACGAGAAATTCAACGATGCTTTAATCTAATTGACTTTTTCTGGAATATGCGATACGATAATGAAACTGGACACGAACAAAATTCTTATACTCCCAATCCATTACGCTGTATTGCTCTATCATTAGCAGTAATCTATTATTTTCGACTTCCAACTGCCGAAGATAATGCACAACGAGATGATAAAAGTACACCATCACGTGAAGAATTATCATCTGTAATTTCTGAATCTATCCACAATTTTGATGAAATCATTCAAAATGAATTGGAAACATTTGTTAATGCTGACAATTTCGTCATTCCACATGGGGTTGCTATTAATCAAGCCGTATGTATATATGCATTTTTTTCATTGACTATCTGTTTAAATACTAATATTTATTTTTAAGATTCGCGAG